TGCTAGACTAGCTGGCATCCAGTAGTCTAATGACTATCCGTTTAGTACCTTCCTTCAGTACTTAGAAGCCAAGCTCCAACAAGATTTCTCTGTTATTCTTAGTGAGGGGTATGCCAACACTAAATTCTTTCACATATCCACACTTAATAGAAGAAGGAGGAATATGATCATGTCTTTAACGGATGAGATGGGGAACATTATTCAAATTCCCAAGACATTAAAGATGCAATCCTTAACTACTTCACTAAGATCTATGTCACTGAACACCATTGCTCAAATTTGAACAAGAGCCACATTACTGATAGTGCTAATGTCCTGACTACCAGGGAGCAGAGCACCATTGACTCTACCCTTAGGCTCTCTCAGATAAAGTGTGCCTTGTTCTCCTTCAAAGCCATAAAGACACCTGGGTTTGATGGTCTTCACCCTCTTTTCTATCAGAAGTACTGACACACTTGTACCCTATTTCTAGCAAGGTAATCCACTACTACCACACTGTCTTCTCCACTTTTACAATCCCTCCTAAAATAAACAAAATCAACCTCTACCTCATCCTTAAGTGCCCTAATGCCACTATGTTGAAAAATTTCAGGCCAATAGGTTTGTGCAACTCCATGTATAAGCTGATCACCAAGATCATTGTCAATAGAATCAAATCTTTGCTATAGAATATCATTGGCCCTACTCAAGCTAGTTTTTTAGCTAATAGAAGGGTTGTTGATAATGCTATTGGGGTACAAGAGTACATTACCCACTTTCAAAATATAAAAAGTAAGAATGCTGATATGATAATTAAGTAGACTTAGAGAAGGACTTTGATAGGTTAAAATGGTCTTTCATAAGAGAATCCCTACTCTTCTTCAGCTTCCCTACTAAATTAACCACCTTAATCATGTCTTGTCTTACTACAAGCTCCATCTCTATCCTTGTCAATGATACTTAGACTGAATACTTTAAGCCTAGTAGAGGCATTAGGCAGGGGGATCCCATATCACCCTACTTGTTCATCATATGCATGGAAAGACTTTCCAGAAATATTGACAATGCTATAATTGATAAAGAGTGGTTCCCTATTATCATTAGTAGGGGAGGGACTAGAATCTCCCATCTGATCTTTGCTGATGACCTCACTATATTTGCCAGAGCCAATAGGAGAAATTGTGAGACAATCTTATCCATCCTAGGTAATTTCAATGATACATTCGGGCAGAAAACCAACTTTCATAAATTTAAAGTGATCTTTTCTTCCAACTGTCAGGAAAAGTGTGCCACGACCTGCAGTACCATTCTAGGTATCAAGGTTTCCCCATCTTCTATCGAAGGCCTAGGAATAGTGACTTCTAATTCATCTTGGATAATCTCAACAATAATGACAGGTTGGAAAACTAAGTTCCTAAACATGGCTAGTCACACCATTTAGGCCAAATCTTGCCTTAGTAGCAATTCCAACCATGTAATGCAATACATCCAGTTGCTCTCCCACATTACCAACTATATTGATAAAATCCAAAGGAATTTTATCTAGGGAACAACTCCTGCAAAAAGGAAGCTCCACATGGTCAAGTGGGCCACTGTCACCAAACCAAAGAACATGGGAGTGCTAGGCCTCTAACAAGCCCATTTAAAGAACAAAACTTGCCATACCAGCCTTGTTTGGAGACTCTACAATAACACTACCTCTATCTGGGCTAGGGTGCTTATGGGACCCTAGCCAAAATCCAAAGGAATTTTACCAACTATATTGACAAAATCCAAAGAAATTTTATCTAGGGAACAACTCCTGCAAAAAGGAAGCTCCACATGGTCAAGTAGGTCACTGTCACCAAACCAAAGAACATGGGAGTGCTAGGCCTCTAACAAGCCCATTTAAAGAACAAAACTTGTCATACCAGCCTTGCTTGGAGACTCTACAATAACACTACCTCTATCTGGGTTAGGGTGCTTATGGGAAAGCACTACAATGGATGAGGGAATAAGGGTAAGGCTAAAACTAGGACATGAAAATGTGTTCATGAGGGCTGGAAGAAATGCGTTAATCGGTAATCGGTTTCTCGCCCCTTGCCCTAACTTTACGTTACCGCCGACTTTAGTGATGGAAGAGAGAATAAAAATATGGTAACCCTAATGGGTGGGGAGATGACCAATTTATAGAGGTTCTCATTTAATTTGGTACGTTCATCAAGTAACCGATCGGGCAGATGAGATTTGATCATTAATTAAATATTAATTATGGGCCTTAAACCTATTGGGCCACCAATAAATTATCGTAAGAAAATCTTACATCTCAGACATTACCGTTCAATTTTGGATTAATATTACCCTTATTTTAGACGGTTGGGCGCGTGCAGGGGCGGATTTAGGCCCAACTTATGAGTACGTGAACCCACGATATTTTCGCCAAAGTATATATCCGCCTTTGGACACAGGTTGCGTCGCCTAATTAAAAAGACCCCTATTTTCTCTCGTGATTTGTTTCAATAATTAATCCGTTCATCTAGAAAGTGTCAAGTGTCATAAGTATTTAGAAAAGTTGACCTAATGCCACTCGCTGCTACCAAAAGGGTTGTTGGCCAAAAAATGTCAAATTTGGCAACATGTAAATTGAAATGCATGCTTATGTTGAGTTTGAATTTCATTTGGAATTAGGGGTCTGTATTTGGTCCCCAAGTGTGTTGAAAAGACCAAAAAGCCAATAAAAAAACAAGAGAGCAGCCTCTTCTTATGTTTCGTTTCAGTGATTCATCAAAGGACAGACAGAGATAAGGTTGCTAAGGTTTTGAGGACCTTTCCTAGATGCACACCTACCCCTCTTGTATTTTTGGCGGTCGTTTGCTTTAAAATTAGGTTATTTTGGATTTATAATTTTAGGATTATCATTTATGTTCAATATGAAATACATATGATATCAAAGATTTTGGTGTAAACTTTATATCGATATTAATGCTGAATAAACATAACTCTAAATTTTATATTGGAAGTAGTATATTAATTTATGTAACCTAATATCCCTTAGATCTTAGCTGCCTGCTTGATTCGTACAATAAAGGGAGGGCTTGACCACAATTTTTTGTAAAAATAGCACGGTATAGTCAGTTTTCGGACTGGTCATTCAAAAATAGCGAGCGTTTACGAAGTCAATGAAAAATAGCCACTATTTTGCTGCAACAGAGACCGGTCCAGCATAATATACTGGAGTTCGGTGCACCTGTGTATGAACTCCAGCATATTATGTTGGACCGGTGTACTTTGCTGACTCAAGTATAATATACTGGAGACTGGAGCACCGGTGCTCCAAACTCCAATATATTATACTGGACAATTATACTTATTAGAACTCCAGTATATTATGCTGGAGTTCTAGTGTACTTATGTTGGAACTCCATCATATTATGCTGGAGTTCCAGCATACTTATCCTGGAACTCCATTATAATATGCTGGAACTCCAGTATAATATATTGACGTATTTTTCGGGTTTTGAACAGTGTTTCCGCTCAGATTTATCTTTACATGAAAAGTGGTTAAATTTCGATTACTTTTGAAATTGCGCTATTTTTGAACGACCAATTGTAAATCTGGCTATTTTTGAATTTCACCCCAATTTTTTTATGTAAGAGAAAGAATTTTATAAATTGAAAGGAAAAAAAAAGGCTTCAATCTATTGTAATTCGATTTCTTGGTATAGAAAGATCTCTGTCATTTGTCTGATCGTAGATAAAGTTATACAAAATTATAAAACATGAATCATGATATACAGATTGTAATACTTGACGTAATTAATATCTAAATTATCAAGTGTATCTTTTTTACGAATATCGATTTATATCATTGAAAATGAAATATGTAGTACACAAGAAAAAACATGCATTTTATTTAGGTGTTTTATTCAAGGAATGTTAAATCTAATATTAGGTTTTCCTATTGAACTTGATACAAGATAGTATCAAAATTGTGATAGTATAAGATAATGCTAATATCACTTAGGGTCGTTTGATACATGAGATAAGTATAATAATCCAGAAATAAAGTTTGATATTTAAGTTTACCCCATGTTTAGTTTGTGGTATATTAATTATGGGATAACTTTTACACTAAAAAATAGGATTAACTATCACACATAGAAGGTGGGATAACTAATTTCATGAGATATCCTGTTCCATGAAATATCGTGGGATATCCTAGCATTATACCAAACGACTCTTTAAGGATCGTTTGGTTAGCGGTCAAATTATTTATCCTACTCGGGAGGTGAGATAATTTAATCCCAAGTTTGATGGGATAAGGTGGTATATCATGTATGAATACTGAGATTAAATTTATAACATATTTGGTTGACGGTATAAATTTATCCTGATATAAATTTATACCATCAATCATATATAATATAAATTTAGTCTCCCACCTTATTTCGCGTAGCAAACGACCCCTTAAAGTAAAAATAACATAAATATCATGCTCTTTCGGCGGTATTTCATAGTACAAACTAGACTTATTTGATTTACTAAATCCTTTTATAAATTATGAAAAATCTGTAGGGATGTTTGAAAAGTTAACGCCTTCCCCAAACAAACACAATTGTAAAAAAACACAGAACCAGAACACCCTAGTGGAATCTGAAGTTTTGGATTCATGACGTGGAACAATCACAACCGTTCGTTCTAAAATCCAGATCATATGAACCTTCACACCTCTTTCCTTCAGCAATCATGTAATATCCTCAAATTCTCCCGATATTTTACATACCTAACGTGGTTATCTTATCTTCTCGGTTGAAACTAAAGACTCTAGAAAGAAGAAAAAAAGACTGAAAATCGGGTCCCACGGGTAAATGCCACGCGGCAACTCGCCCTTGTCTGCGAAAGAATCTCTAAACCCACAAAAAGAGGAAATTAGAGAAAGTAATGAAAAATAAAAAGCCCAAATATTTAATTCGGGCCAAATCCAGGCCCATAGCCCGGCCTCTTATTTTCCCCCTATATAAGCAAACGAACCCTCCCATGCAATTCTCGCTCATTTCACAGTTGTATTACTGGATCCCTATATATCTCTATCAGCTATCTCATTTTCCGGTTACCGTTCAGGTTTCCGACCATATCCTTTCTTCTTTTCCGGCAACCAATTTCGGTTAATATCTGTATGGTGTTGTGTTTGTTTGACTCTTAGGTTTGTTTTGATTTCAATTCGGTAATTCGATTTTGTTTTGAACATTAAAATTTGCTTCTTCTGAAAGGTCAGTGTGGGGATTTTTGGTTCGTATAGTGGTGTGTTAGAAGGTGATTATCTTTTGATTAAGTTCTCTTTTTGCTTCTTTTGAGGGGGTAGCCGGGGCTCCGGCCTCGGCGGGTTCTAAAGCCCCCAGTTATTACAACATTGGTGAAAATTCTGTTGTATAAAAAAATCCTTTAATTTTCTCTCTATTCTTTGATTCTTTTGTTTTTATACTTTCGTAAAAGAAAACAAATAGATTAGGGAAGAGATGCCTGCCTTAGGTTGTTGTGTAGACGCTGCTGTTTCTCCTCCTCCCGGCTATTCCTTCCTTTGGGATAGTTCTCTTCCCGCGCCGGAGATTTTTCCCTCCGGCGTACCTCCGTCGACAAACACCGCCGTTGCCACCACCACCACCACCCATTGGTCTCCGGCGCACTCATCCGCTCTTTATTCTATTGACGGATGGGGCGCTCCGTATTTCACCGTTAATTCCTCCGGTGATATCTCCGTTAAGCCACATGGTACGGATACTCTGCCTCACCAGGAAATCGATCTCCTTAAGGTCGTGAAAAAGGCCTCCGACCCGAAAAATTTGGGCGGACTCGGGTTGCAGTTTCCGCTCGTTGTTCGGTTCCCTGATATTCTGAAAAACCGGTTGGAGTCTCTTCAATCCGTTTTTGATTATGCGGTTCAGTCACAAGGTTATGAAGCTCACTACCAAGGTGTTTATCCTGTGAAATGCAACCAGGACAGGTTCGTTGTTGAAGATATTGTCAAATTCGGATCGGGTTTCCGGTTCGGTCTCGAAGCTGGGTCTAAACCTGAGCTCCTCCTAGCTATGAGCTGTCTCTGCAAAGGCAGTCATGAGGGTCTTCTTGTGTGCAACGGGTTCAAGGATGCTGAGTACATTTCGCTTGCTTTGGTTGCAAGGAAGCTCATGTTGAATACAGTAATTGTCCTTGAACAAGAGGAGGAGCTTGATTTGGTGATTGACATCAGCAAGAAAATGGCGGTCCGGCCTGTGATCGGGCTTCGGGCTAAGCTCAGGACCAAACATTCGGGTCATTTCGGATCCACTTCTGGAGAGAAAGGTAAATTTGGGCTCACGACAACACAGATTGTTCGTGTGGTGAAGAAGCTAGAAGAATCCGGAATGCTGGATTGTCTTCAGTTGCTGCATTTTCATATCGGATCTCAAATCCCTTCGACGGCTTTGCTTGCTGATGGCGTTGGTGAGGCTGCCCAGATTTACTGTGAATTAGTCCGCCTCGGTGCTGGCATGAAATACATTGATTGTGGTGGTGGCCTTGGAATTGACTATGATGGTACAAAATCATGTGATTCCGATTGTTCTGTTGGATATGGCCTTCAGGAATATGCATCTACGGTTGTTCAAGCTGTTCGATTTGTTTGTGACCGGAAGAACGTGAAACATCCGGTGATCTGTAGCGAGAGTGGGAGAGCAATTGTATCTCATCACTCTGTTCTGATATTTGAGGCTGTGTCTTCAACTACAACACGCTCACAAGAGTTATCTTCTGTTGATCTCCAGTCATTTGTGGAGAAGCTCAATGATGATGCTCGTGCTGATTATCGGAATTTATCTGCTGCTGCTATTCGTGGAGAGTACGATACGTGTGTACTTTATGCTGATCAGTTGAAACAGAGATGTGTGGAGCAGTTCAAAGATGGTGATTTGGACATTGAACAACTTGCTGCAGTAGATGGCATTTGTGATTTCGTGTCGAAGGCTATTGGGGCTTCTGATCCTGTCCGCACATACCATGTGAATCTTTCGATCTTCACTTCAGTTCCTGATTTTTGGGCAATTGACCAACTATTCCCAATTGTTCCCATCCATAAGCTAGATGAACGGCCTGTAGTTCGAGGAATTTTATCGGACTTGACCTGTGATAGTGATGGGAAGATTGATAAGTTCATTGGAGGAGAGTCAAGCTTGCCGCTCCATGAATTAGGAAGTAATGGTGGTGGTGGTGGTGATGGTGGAAAATATTATCTAGGAATGTTTTTGGGTGGGGCTTATGAGGAGGCGCTTGGGGGACTCCATAACCTATTTGGCGGACCCAGCGTTTTGCGTGTGTCACAGAGCGATAGCCCACACAGCTTCGCCGTGACATGTGCTGTTCCTGGTCCGTCCTGTGCTGACGTTCTCCGGGCGATGCAGCACGAGCCTGAACTCATGTTCGAGACGCTCAAGCACCGCGCTGAAGAATTCGTGCACAATGACGACGAACAAGAAGAAGATAAAGGGCTTGCATTTGCATCTTTGGCCAGCAGCTTAGCTCAGTCATTCAACAATATGCCTTACCTTGTTACTAATTCATCTTGCTGCCTTACTGCTGCTGCCAATAACGGTGGCTATTACTATTGCAATGATGAGAACATTGTTGGAGTTGGCGCAGAATCTGCTGCAGCTGAAGAAGAGCTTTGGCCTTACTGTGTTGCTTGAAGTATCTTGGAACATTTCCAGTTTCCACCATTGTTGTTCCTTTTTTGTTTCAATAAAGTGGCAATTTAGTTTGTCGTTGAGGTCGTCTGTTTCGTTAATTATGTCATAGTTTAAGTCATTTTTTGGTTTAATTTTCTGTTGTTGGACGCCAGAAATTGTGGAGAAACCAAGGACTATGTAATCTCCCCCGTCTTATTAAATGCATTTACTTTTGTTACAATTCCTGTGTCCAAAAAAAATTCGAAGTTACATTTTCTCTTTGCTAGATTTTGAATCTGACTTTCTATTGTTTGCATTTACTTTGCTAAAAGTTTAAGTCACATGCTTCAATGTGGAGGTGTGGCCGTCGAGGAGTAGGATTGAAAATTAGGGTTAATTGTAGTAGAAAATTAAAAAAATGATTGATTAGGGAAGGCATGAACCTCGATAGGGAGGTGTGGCGGCCGAGGAGTAGGATCGAAGATTGACAGATAGTCGAGACTCTTCTAATCGTACTAGTAGTATTAGTATTAGTTTTGTATTCTCCGATTTCGAGTTCTTTGTTGATTAGATGATGTGGCATTATTGCCGGTAGTTTTCGCATCTCTTATAGCTTTGTATTCTTAGTTTCTTTGCTATTACATGTTGTGTTATTTGTTTCTGTTATCTTATTTCCTTGTCATTGTTACTGTTTGTTTATTGTATCATTTTCACTGTTCTTGAGCCGAGGGTCTATTGGAAACAATATCTCTTCCTTCATAAGGTAGGGATAAGGTTTGCGTACACATTACCCTCCCCAGACTTCACGTGTGCGATTACACTGAATTTGTTGTTGTTGTTGTTGATTAAGGAAGACGGGGATGAGTGGGAGAGGTAGATTTAGGATTTAAGTTTTCTGCATTTAATATTTAACATTTTTAGTATTAAACAGTTTGTATTCTAAAATATGAGTTAAGATTCACTATTTGTTGATTTTAACAGATAATTTATGTATCTAATTTAACTCATTCTAAATAGCCATGAGATGATTATTTGAGAGTGATTCTTTTGTCAGTGGATGCTCTTATTATACTCGTAGTCTCTTAAGGATGAGAACCAATTACTCCATTTGTTTCAAAAAGATTGATTTTATTTCCTTATTAGTATGTTCCAAAAAGATTGATGACTTTCAATATTTCATTAATATGAAGCATTTATAGTCACACAAATGAAATGACAAATTTCAGATCACAAATTTCATAATTTTGCAACCACACAATTATTCTGGCTTATTCAATACCACATATTTCAAAAGTCTTCCTTTCTTTTTTAAGATTTATGACAAGTTAAATTAAGATAAATTTTTTAAAACGGAGAAAGTATCTTGAATTTAAAATCTAGAATTCAAATACTGTATTATTATATCATTAGTCCGAATCCTTTGCGGGAAGTAGCCGTAATATGGTTTGGGAGGTGGGGCCTTTTGTGGGCTAAATTCGTTTATGATAATGTCAAAATATGCGAAATGATTTAAATGGTCCTATTAGTCTAATTCGACAAAATGATTTAAATGTGGGGTGGAGGATGGGGTTCAATTGATTACAAGTACTTGGCTGTTAGAATTACAGAATCTTCTTGGAATCTCATCATAGTTTGTTATTCAAAAAAGCATATGTTTGTGTGGGGCCGCTTTCCAATAATAATCATGTGGGTGTAGTAAGATTGTCAGAAAAATATTTTTATTTTTAGTTTTCTAAGTCAATTTTTCTGTCTTTACTATTTTCCGACTTTTACGCTATTGTATTTTTTCCTTATACTATGTTGGGTTAAGGTCGCGAGTTTATTGAAAACAATTTCTTTACGTATATAAAATAGGGTTACGATTATGTACTTACGAGTTGATTTTTATTTTTGTACGTAAGGGATATAAAAATAAAATATAAGAAGACATTGAACCATTTCCTTTTGAATTTTGAATTTTGCACGATAAATATGTCTTGTATGAAATACGCGATTACTTAATTACGATAACGAATTAGTATTTTTATGTAATATTTCGATAAAAGATTCCATTAGAAAAGTTAGAGACCTTTGAGAAAGAGCAGGTAGAGAAAAAGGGTAGGAAAATATTTTCATATTGTGATGGTTTCTAAAACGAATACATCCAACTAACTGCCACATTTCTTTTTACCTTTTTCTTGTTTGTCCACAAATCAATAAAATGATTTAGAATTATCATGCGATCGAATCCTAAAGATCTTCTGGACAAGATTTATGCAGCGGCGGACTTAAGATTTAAAGATAATAGATGTACTTTTGCTTTCAATCAAAATCTATTATGTATATAAGGTGTCACAACTAATATATCACTATCTTTTAAAGATATATAAATGTATATATGAAATTTTTGCCAGTTTTTACAATATAGGTCGGCCTCCGGATTTATGAGGCCTTTTTAGAGCCCGTTTGTCCATGATTTTTTTTTTTCGAATGACATAAAATTTTCAATTTTCACTTGAAGATGAATTTTGAAATTTTTCAAAAATGAGCAAAAATAGCCAAAAAGTTATTTTTCAAGATTCTCACTCAGATCACATATAATAAAAAATAATCTAAAATTATATTCATGTTCAAACACAACTTTAATTTTCAAATACCATTTTCGTTTGAAATTGTTTTTCACTTTTTCTCGAAATTTTACAATTCTTATGTCCAAACGCCCACTCAGTTTGGCAGTGGGTGAAATGTACGCCGATTGTTCCTTTATGTATCAAATTGTTTAATAAATAACTTTCTTCTTATTTTCTTATACAAAATAAGGGTATGGCCTGTGTACACATTACTTTCCCCAAATCTCATCCGTACGATTAAATTGAGTTTCTTATTGTTATTGTTGTTAAATGTATACGTGTGTAGAGAGTGTAGGATAAGATTCTATATAAGGTTGTGGTTCATGTCATGACTTTGTTTAACTTCCCAGCATTAGATCAATATTGTTGAGAATATGTGGCAGCCAGAGATTGTTGTCATTTAAATGTGTGATTGTGCATAAAAATGCCATTCTTTAAGATGGATTTGGATGGTGGGAATGCCAGCTCTCTTGAGGAAATGACTAGATAGGCATATCCAAAAAACAAGGAATTACAGATGACGATGTGCTGGTCGTAATATGACTAGGAAGTTTGCTTTTCAAGCAGCTAAAGGGCAACAGTTATTATTTATTTTTTTGATAATTCCCGGGGAAACTCGTAGCCGCGATTCTTCGGGTGCATATATTGGATAACCTACTCATTATACAATATCTCGCAAATTATACAGAAGATATAAACTGCACTAAGTAAGTTTTTGTTCAATTTGCTACTGCTTATGCAAGTGAAAACGTTATGTTCTGATTCTATCTAATCCAACACTCGGTGAAACACGGTATTTGGCAACCCATGGATACTGAAGAGACCCAATTGGGAAGAAGTAAATCTCTAATCCATCCGTTTTAAAAAGATTGTCTGTTGAACGTTTGGATATAAGAATTATAAAATTCTAACAAAAAGTTAAAAGAAAATTCAAGTGAAAATGACATTTGAAAATTAGAATTGTGTTTGGACATAAATATAATTTTGGGTTATTTTAAAATTTTTGTGAGTGATCTGAGTGAATTTTGAAAACATTTTTTTGAAGTTTTTCAAATTTTCAAAAAATTCTAAAATTCATTTTCAAGTGAAAATTAAATATTTTATGATCAAACACTGATTTCGAAAAAAGTAAAAAAAATTCAAAAAAAAATGAAAAAAATAATTCATGGCCAAACGGGCTCCTAGGTTGACTTGACATGAATTTTCATAACGAAGAAAAAACTTTTGAGACATGTGATCTTAAATAAATCATATTATTTATGTAATTGTAAAACTTTTGAAATTTATAGTATGAAACTTGTCATATCACTTTTGCGGCTATAAATACTTTTTATTAAGAAAATATTGAAAGGTGCCCATCTTTTTAAAACGGACTAATAAGAAAATAGTGTCAATATTTATAAAACAGAATTAGTAATAATTTTCGAAATGAAAATGACAAGTTGGCGTAGAGTAGGGAATAGTAGTTTTTTCTTCTTCTTTTTCAATTGGTTGAATATACGATCTACATTTGGCTCAAGGTATTTTCTCTCTATATTTCTTCATAAAAGCAGGGAGTTTTCAACATTGATTTCAACTCAACTGTTTTTTATCAGCAAATCGACCAATGATTCCCACGGAAAAGACGAATTTTAGATAGAGGTGGATAAGAGTAGGTTTTAGGTAGGGAGAATATTAAGACGACAATTTGGAGAAGAATTGAGTTATGGATTTGACTGATTGTTTGACGAAATAAACGTTGATTATGCTTTTGGGTCTTGTCTTGTTATAGCAAGTTGATTGATTTTGACAATTCGCCCGTATTCCTATGTTGACCTATTCTTCTTTCTGTCTCCCTCCTACCCAACCTCCTCTCCAAGAAATAGTGCCCCTTCTCTATATTAATGCTAGGTGGCACACGACAGGCCCGGTTCAATGTAAGGCTGTATTGTGGTCCGGGCCCGGGGCCAAACGAGCCTAACGGGCCGGACCAAACGGGCTCGGGTTTCACGGTTTCAATGTGTGGAATCGGCCCACGGTGGACTTAAGCCTACATGGTCCCGGGCTAAATGGGTCGGGCCTGCGTGCCTAAACGGGGCTAACGGTCTTTTTTCGTTCCGGATTATTTTTTTTAATTTTTTTATTTAAGACACTTTCTTGTAAACTATATATGTATATACTAGTATAAATTGCTTATATATAGCTATA